GCCTCCCAAGTAGCTGGGACTACAGGCGCCCGCCACAACACCCATTTATTTATTTATTTATTTATTTATTTATTGTTTGCAGCCATCATTGTTGTTTGGCAGGCTCAGGCTGGATTCGAACCCGCCAGCTCAGGTGTATGTGGCTGGCGCTTTAGCCATTTGAGCCACAGGTACCAAGCCTTGTTTTGTTTTTTAGACAGAGTCTTTCTCTGTCGTCCTGAGTAGAGTCCTATGGCAACATAGCTCACAACAACCTCAAACTCTTAGGTTTGCCTCAGCTTCCCAAACAGATGGGACTACAGGCATCTGCTACAGTAAGTACTTGGCTAGTTTTTCTGTTTTTAGTAGTCTGGCGTTTGGCTCAGGCTGGTCTTGAACTAGTCAGCTAAGGTGATCTACCTGCCTTGGCCTCCCAGAGTGCTGGTATTAAAGGTGTGAGCCACTGTGCCCCTACTATGATGCTTTTGATAGAACATAGATAAAGGCTTTTAATAGTTTTTGTTTTTTAATGTTGCCAATGCTTACATTTGCAGTTTCAAATGTGGTTTAAGTTTTAATCATCAATATTGTGGCTTTGTTTTGTTTGTTTGATGTTTTGTGTTCAAACTGGTGAAAAAGATTTTTGGCTGATTTTTCTTTTGATATTCTGTTTTCTTCCATTTAAAAAAATTGTGCTAATATGCACATAACATAAAATTTATCATCTTAAAATTAACCTTTTTTTTTTTTTTCCTGAGACAGTCTCACTTTGTCACCCTTGGTAGAGTGCCATAGTATCATAGCTCACACCAACTTCAAACTTTTGGGCTTAAGCAATTCTCTTGCCTCAACCTCCTAAGTAGCTGGGTCTATAGGCATAAGCCAGTATGCCTGGCTTCATCTCAACTATTTTTAAGCATACAGTTAAATGGTATTAGAACACTCATAATGTGTTAATCCATCTCCATATTTATGGAAATTCTGCCCATTAAATAACAACTTCCCAATTTTTTCTTCTTGCTTCCAGTCTGTTGATGCCTCCACTCTGCAGTCTGTTTTTGTGGTTTAATATTCTTTCTCCACAAATTAGATGGAGAAATAGTTTTTCTTAAATTGATATTTTAAACTTCCCTGTGTTTAAATATTTTTAGATTATTTTAAAGAATAATAATTAGAATAATTTAGTTAGTGTTCATGGTCTGCCACTTGATTTCTCTATGACTTGGTGTCTTTATCTCTAAAACTAATATGATAACATCTACCTTATAGAACTGTTGTGAAGATTAGAAATAAGTGTTAAAAAAAAGAAATAAGGATAAAATACTAAATATGAAGTTATCACTTTCATAAAAATAATCAGTGTATGTTGCTTTTAGGGTAAAGGGGTTAAATTCATGCTTTCTGGGTTTTGTTTTGTTTTGTTTTGGTTTTTGAGACAGAATCTCACTCTTTTGCCCTGGGCAGAGTGCAGTGATGTCATCACAGCTTGGAACCTCAAATTCGGTAGGCTCAAGCCCTCTTCCTGCCTCAGCCTCCTGAGTAGCTGGAACTGTAGGCGCATACCATTACTCCTGGCCAATATTTTCTATTTTTGGAAGAGACAAGGTTTTGATCTTGGTTAGGCTGGTATCAAATTCCTGACCTCAAGTGATCCTCCTGCTTTGCTTCTTCCTCCAGTGGTAGGATTATCGTTAGCTACCTAGCCTGGTCCATGCTTTCTAATATTTTGGATGATTGGGAGTGGGGCGGTTCTAAGGTTTTTGTTATGCTTTTTAGCTATATAGATTATAATCCTCTTTTAAGAGGACTTTATTAATGCTTTCTGGTTCTTGAAGATTGTTTTCCTCTGGTTACAGTTAAGAGAATTTGTGTGTGTAAAAGATGATCAGTTTATTCCTTTATAAGAGGAGGTTACCATTTTGGTAACCTTAATCTTTACATGCTTTCCATAACACTTCCTTCACAAGTATAAAAGTGTTTGGGAACACCAAGTGGAAGGTAGAACCTCAACTAGTGTTTGTCATGGAGGCAAGGGCCTCAATATCCTCATCCTGAGAGAAGTTAAGGAAAGAACACACATATATTTCCTTATTCTCAGGTGTCTGGGTATCTTTGGACTGCATTATAAAGCCTGGGAGACAGCTTTGTTAGAATCTAGTTTGCATGAAATATGTGTAGAAGATTATTGATTAGCCAGGTATCTAGTGAAAACTAGAATTTAGAATTTCAGGGCCCCCGGGGTAGATAACGACGCACTCATTTTTCCTGCCCTATTTTTTCTGTGTTTATCTTCTTCAACATTTTGCTTTTTAAGGCAAGTGAACATACGCTTGCCCTTCATAAGTAAGGGTGAAAATAAATCCTTATTCTGAAATATAATGTAGTAAGTAGACTGGGTCTTCTTTGATTTAGAAATGTAATGTTATTTGTTTTAGTCTAAGTTATAGTGGATTCATTTGTACTTATAAATGTTGGGAGAATAGAGTGTTTCTGAGATCAGTGTCTTTCCTCCAATAAGAGCTCTCCCGTAGAGGCAGCAATGTTGGAGAATTTCTATTAGGTTAAGCTGTAGGAGAGCTCAGGTGCTACCTAAATGGCCAGCCTCAAAAGGGCCTTATAGAAGTCCAAGTTTGGAAAAGCTTCTAATTTGAGAGGTGTTTATTGACCATCTTTCCTATTTCTCTGATAAGTGATATTCTTTTTCTCCTTTAAATTTAAGGTTCCTCAGAAAATTTTGAGTAAATGGGAAGCCAGTGTTGGTCTTGCTGAACAGTATGATGTTCCCAGAGGGTCAAAGAGTCGAAAATGTGTAACCAGTTCCATCAAGTTGGACAGTGAGGAAGATGTGCTATTTGAGGACTGTACAAATGATCCTGAATCAGAACATGATCTTTTGCTTAACGGCTGCTTGAAATCTCTGGCTTTTGATTCTGAACATTCTGCAGATGAGAAAGAAAAGCCTTGTGCTAAGTCTCGCGCTAGGAAAAGCTCTGATAATCCAAAAAGGACTAGTGTGAAAAAGGGCTTCATGCAATTTGAAGCACATAAGGAAGACCGGAGGGGAAAGATTTCAGAGAACCTTGGCCTAAACTTTATCTCTGGAGATGTATCTGAAAAGCAGGCATCTAATGAACTTTCTAGGATAGCAAACAGCCTCACAGGGTCCAGCGCTGTCCCTGGAAATTTTCTGTTTTCTTCTTGTGGAAAAAACACTGCAAAGAAAGAATTTGAGACTGCAAATTGTGACTCTTTATTGGGTTTGCCTGAGGGTGCCTTGATCTCAAAACGTTCTGGGGAAAAGAAGAAACCCCAGAGAGGTCTATTGTGCAGTTCAAAAGTGCAGCTCTGCTATATTGGAGCAGGTGATGAGGAAAAGCGAAGTGATTCCATTAGTATCTGTACCACTTCTGATGATGGGAGCAGTGATCTGGATCCTGTAGAGCACAGCTCAGAGTCTGATAATAGTGTCCTTGAAATTACAGATGCTTTTGATAGAACAGAAAACATATTGTCTATGCAGAAAAATGAAAAGATAAAGTATTCTAGGTATCCTGGCACAAACTCTAGAGTAAAAGCAAAGCAGAAACCTCTCATTACTAATTCACATACAGACAATTTAACAGATTGTACTAAGACAGCAGAGCCTAGAACTGAGACATCTCGGGTTAATCTCTCTGATCTTACGGTATCCACTCCTGTCCACAAACCCCAATCAGATTTCAGAAATGATGGTCTCTCTCCAAAATTCAGCATGGCATCAAGCATTTCTAGTGAGAACTCACTAATAAAAGGTGGGGCAACAAATCGACCTCTGTTACATTCAAAAAGCAAACAGCCCAAGTTTCGAAATATAAAGTACAAACATAAAGAAACTTCAGTTATAGTAGAACCCCCAGTTACAAATGAAGACTGCAGTTTGAAATGCTGCTCTTCTGATATGAAAGGCTCTCATTTGGCCAGCATTTCTAAAAGTGGAAAAGTGGATGGGCTAAAACTGCTGAACAACATGCACGAGAAAACCAGGGATTCAAATGACATAGAAACAGCAGTGGTGAAACATGTTTTGTCAGAGTTGAAGGAACTCTCTTACAGATCCTTAGGTGAGGAAGTCAACGAGTCTGGAACATCAAAACCACCAAAACCATTACTTTTCTCTTCTGCTTCTAGTCAGAATCATATACCTATTGAACCAGACTACAAATTCAGTACATTACTAATGATGTTAAAAGATATGCATGATAGTAAGACCAAGGAACAGCGGTTGATGACGGCTTCCAACCTGGTGTCTTATCGGAGTTCTGGTCGTGGGGACTGTTCCACAAGTGGTCCTGCAGGGGCTTCTAAGGTTTTGGTTTCAGGAGGCTCCACCCACAATTCAGAAAAAAATAGAGATGGCATTCAGGACTCAACTAATCCTATCCCTAGTGGTGGGGACTCTGCAGTATCTGGGGAATTGTCTGCATCCCTCCCTGGTTTTGTGTCCAACAGAAGAGATATTCCTGCTTCTGGCAAAAGTCGTCCAAACTGTGTCACCAGGCGCACCTGTGGGCGATCAAAGCCATCATCCAAATTGCGAGATGCTTTTTCAGCTCAGATGGGAAAGAATACGGTGAACCGAAAAGCCTTAAAGACAGAGCGCAAAAGAAAACTGAATCGGCTTCCAGCTATGACTCTTGAGGCTGCTCTGCAGGGAGACAGAGAAAGTGGAGGTTCATTGACAGGTGGGACAGAAGATCTGGGTAAAGATGAATCTCTTCAATTAACAGGCCATTTAACAGGCAAAGATGGTACTGAACATCTTTCTGATGGTCATTTGGATAACAAGGTTAAAAAACCTGAACCAGATAAAATTCCAGAAAAAGGCCCTGGTTTTGAAAACAAAAAGGGCCAAAAGGGCCAAGAGCTGGACTCTGAAATGAACAGTGAGAATGATGAACCCAATGGTGTAAATCAAGCAGTGCCTAAAAAACGCTGGCAGCGTTTAAACCAAAGGCGCACTAAACCTCGTAAGCGCACTAACAGATTTAGGGAAAAAGAAAATTCTGAGGGTGCCTTTGGGGTTTTGCTTCCTAGTGACCCGGTACAAGAGAAGCGGGATGAATTTCTAGAGCATAGAACTCCTCCTTCAACAAACATACCAGAGGATGCACTGACAGATACCAATCGTGCTGGCCACTTAGATTCAGTTGGGTCACAGTTGAATATTCGTGACAAATCTAGCACCAGCCTTGGGGATGTGGAAAAGGAGCCAGGAATTCCCAGTTTAACACCACAGGCTGAGCTCCCTGAACCAGGTAAGGACTTCTGACTGTGATAGGAAGAGATTTGAGAAAGTGAAGATAATACTATCATTTTTTAGTTAAGTCTCAATAACGTTTTTGCTCCTGTTCCCTATTTCCTATCTTTATCTAAACTTTTTGAGATTCAGTCTGTTACTGCAAGTAATTGAGAGGCACTGGTCCTAAGATTTAAATCCTGTTTTTAGCTTACAAAAACAAAGTAGATTTTGTTGGATCTTAGTCTTCTTTTGACTAAATATAAGGTAGGTCCACCTGGTTTGTGGACAGTAGGGACGTGGTTTTGGAAAGAAAATAACAGTATTTTATACTATTTATTTGAAAGTCTTGAGTATCTCAGTTCCTTTCTGGAATGAGGAATAAAGGTACTTGAGTAGAAGAAGAGCACCACAGCGGAAATATTTCAAGACATTAACATTGTATAATATAGTATCCTTAAGTATAAGATTTCTCAATTTGGTAGTAGTTTTTAGTATGTTCAGAGTTGTGCAAACATTTACATCATCCCCAAAAGAAATTCTGAGCTCATTATCAGTCTTTCTTTGATTTCTCCCAGTTATATAGATTTATCTGTGTATATTTCATAGAAATGGAAGCTTGCAATTTGTGATTCTTTCAAGTCTGGATTTATCACATCTTTTTTTAAAAATATGGGTTAAAGGCACATAACAAACAATTTTTAAATGATCTATACACATATTGTTCAATAACAGATCTCTAGAACTTATTCATCTTGCATGACTGACACTGAATACACATTGAACAATAACTCCTTAGCTTTCTGTCTGGGCAGCCTCCTGGCAGCTACCATTCTACTTTTTGTTCCTGTGAGTTTAATTACTATAGATAACTTCTGTAAATGGAACCCTATAGTATTTTATTTGTCTTTTTTGTGCTTGATTTGTTTCATTTAGCATAATATTCTTAAGGTTCATTTTGTTATAGCATATAAGAGGATCACTTTATTTATTTATTTTTTTTTTTTGAGACAGAGTCTAAAGTTGTCACCCTGGGTAGAGTGCTGTGGCATCACAGCTTACAGCAAACTCAAACTCCTGTGCTTAAGCCATTCTCTTGCCTCATCCTCCCAAGTAGCTGGGACCATAGGCACCTGGCTATTTTTTTTGTTGCAGTTGTCAATTGTTGTTTAGCTGGCCTAAGCAGGGTTTGAACCTGCCAACTTTGGTGTAGGTGGTTGGCACCCTATCCACTGAGCAATAGGTGCTGCCTGAGGATCACTTTATTTTTTAAGGCTGAGTAGTATTCCAACCCCCACACCACCCACCACTTTTGCTTTATGCATTCATCAGTTGCAGACATTTAAGTTTCTTCCACAAGTTTTGTTTTTGTGTGTGTGCCCACACAAAAACAAACAAAAAAATTCTTTTTTGAGACAATTGCACTCTGCTGCCCGTGCTAGTGCTATGGCATTAGCCTACCTCAGAGCAACCTCAAACTCCTGGGTTCAAGTGATCTTCCTGACTCGATCTTCCTGACTCAACCTTCCCAGTAGCTGGGACTACAGGTGCCTGCCACAACACAACGACCAGCTCTTTTTCCATTTTTAGTAGAGATAGGGTTTTACTCTTGTTCAGGCTGGTCTCGAACTCCTAAGCTCGAGACATTCTCCTGCTTTGGTTTCCTAGAGTACTAGAATTATAGGTGTGAATCACTGAGCTTGCCTTTCCTTTTTAGAGGGAGAGGGTCTCACCATATTACAGAGGCTCATCAGGAACTCTGGGCCTCAAGGGATCCCATCTCAGCCTCCTAAGTACCTGAAACTACAGATGTGAGCCACTGGGCCCAGCTCTTCTCATTATTATTTAGAGAGAATATCTTACTCTGTTGCCCAGGTCTTAAACTACTAGCTGTAAGTAGTCCTCTCACCTCAGCCTCCTGAATAGGTGGGACTATAGGTGTGAGACACTAAACTTGGCTTATTTGTCTTCTTTAATTTTAGTCAGCAGTGGTTTTTTTTTTTTTGGAGACAGAGTCTTAACTATGTCACCCTGCTCACAGCAATCTCAAACTCTTTGGGCTTAAGTGACTCTCTTGCCTCAGCCTCCCAAGTGGCTGGGACTATAGGTGCCCACCACAATGCCTGGCTATTTTTTGGTTGCAGTTGTCATTGTTAGTCGGGCTGGGCTGGAACCCACCAGCCTCAGTGTTTATGGCTAGCACCCTACTCACTGAGCTATGGGCGCTGAGCCTAGTCAGCAGTGTTTTATAGTTTTTAGTGTGCATCTCTTTCACCTCCTTTAATTATTGATGTACTCTTTATTCCTCATTGAGTATTTTTTGGTTTTAGTATGAAAAGTGGATAAATTTTGTCAAGATGCCTTTTCTGCATCAGCTGAGATGATCATATGAATATTTTGTTTGTCCTTTATTCTTTTAATGTGGTCTGTTCTGTTGATTAATTTTTCTTATTTTTGAAGCATCCTTGGATCCCAGCATTAAATTTCATGTGGGTATGATGTACAGTAAAACCTCCATAGTTGACCACCTCTCTTCACTGACCACATCCTTAAGCTGACCTGATTTTCATCAAGTGGGCATGCACTATATGTATATGTCAGTGTAGTAGGCCTAGTTTCTTATGTTGACCACTTCTGTATGTTAACTGGTTTGTTATAGTCCCTTGAGTGTTCAGCTTCAGAGGCTCCATTATATATTCTGTTTAATGTGTTGTTGAGTTTTTTTTTTTTTTTTTTTTGAGACAGAGCCTCAAGCTGTCCCCCTGGGTAGAGTGCTGTGGCATCACAGCTCACAGCAACCTCCAACTCCTGGGCTCAAGCGAGTCTCCTGCCTCAGCCTCCCAAGTAGCTGGGACCACAGGTGCCCGCCACAACGCCTGGCCATTTTTTGGTTGCAGCCGTCATTGTTGTTTGGCGGGTCCGGGCTGGGGACTCGAACCCGCCACCTTAGGTGTACGTGGCTGGCGCCTTAGCCGGTTGAGCTATAGGCGCCGAGCCGTGTTGTTGAGTTTTGTTTGCTAGTATTTTGTTGAGGTGTTTGCTGTCAGTATTTATAAGGGATATTGGAGTGTAGCTCTCTTTTTTATGGTACCTTTAGCTTTATTATCAGAGTAATACTGGTCTCATAGAATGATTTTGGAACATTGGAGAATGCCTATAGAATTGTGATAAACCAAATGAGAGGAAATTTTTGGCAGAAAGGAAGTTTTCAGTTTTTGTAAGAGTTTGAGAAGGATGAAATGCTTGGTAGAATTTTAGAGTGATGCTGCGTAGTGCTGCACTTTTCCTTGTTGGAAGATTTTTTATTACTTGTTTAATCTCCTTAATATTTGAAGGACCGTGTAGATTTTCTGTTTACTCATGATTCAGTATTTGTAGGTTGTATAATTTCTGTGAATTTATACATTTCTTTTAGGTCTTTTAGGTTATCTTGTTGGCTTGTTCATTATAGTCTCTTATCCTATTTATTTCTGATAGTACTTGTAATGTCTATTTTATTACAGTGTCTAATTTTGGTTATTTGAATCCTGTGTTTTTTCTTGTATTTCATGTAGCTAAGGATTTGTCTTTTTGTTGTTCTTTAAAGTAAATAAACTTGGTTTTATTGATTTTTTTTCTCCCTAATTTTCTGTGCTTTGTTTTATTTACATATGCTTTAGTATTCATTGTTTCTTTCCTTCTGCTAACTTTGAGTTTAGTTTGTTCATATTTTTCTGGTTCCTTGAGTTGTAGAGTTAGGTTATTGATTTGAGATCTCTTCTATTTTATTTTGTTATTTATTTATTTTTGAGACAGAGTCTCACTTTGCTGCTAGAGTGTTATAGCTCATACCAACCTCAAACTCTTGGGCTTAAGCTGTTCTCTTGCCTCAGCCTCCCAAGTAGCAGGGACCAGAGGTGCTGGCCATAACGCCTGGCTATTCTTAGAGATGGGGTCTTGCTCTTGCTTAGGCATGTCTCGAACCTGTGAGCTCAGGCAATCCACTTGCCTAGTACTCCCAGAGTGCTAGGATTACAGGCATGAGCCAACATGGCTGGCCTATTTTATTTTATTTTATTTTGTTTATTTTTGAGACTGAGTCTCACTTAGTCACCCTGGGGTTGAGTGCTGTGGCATCATAACTCAACTGCAACCTCAAACTCATGGGCTCAAGTGATCCTCTTGCCTCAGCCTTCTGAGTAGCTGGGAGTACAGGTGCCCGCCACAATATCTGGCTAGTTTTTCTATTTTTAGTAGAGATGGGGTCTTACTCTTGCTCAGGCTGGTCTTGAACTCCTGAACTCAAGCAATCCACCCACCTTGGCTTCCCAGAGTGCTAGGATTACCAGTGTGAGGCACTGCACCGGGCTCTCTTCTTTTTTAATGTAGGTATTTATTGATACAGAGTATCTCTCAGTACTGCTTTTACTGCATCTCATAGGTTTTGTTATGTTGTTTATGTCTTAAGATATTTTTTAGGGTGGCGCCTGTGGCTCAGTGGGTAGGGCACCAGCCCCATATACTGAGGGTGGCAGGTTCGAACCCGCCCCAGCCAGACTGCAACAAAAAATAGCTGGGCGTTGTGGTGGGCGCCTGTAGTCCCAGCTACTCAGGAGGCTGAGACAGTTCTCTCAGTTGGAGTTGGAGGTTACTGTGAGCTGTTATACCACGGCACTGTACCCAGGGCCACATAGTGACACTCTTGTCTCAAAAAGAAAAAAAAGATATTTTCTAATTTCCTTTGTGATTTCCTCTTTCTACTATTAGTGGTTCAGTAGTGTGTTGTTTAATTTCTACATTATATGTGGATTTTCCAGTGTTTGTATTGGTATTGATTCCATGGAGAACAAAAATATACTTAGTATGAGTTCAAACTTCCTGAGTTTGTTCAGACTTATTTTGTAACCTGACATGTGATCTGTCTTAGAAAATGTTCTTTGAGCTTTTGAGAGGAATATGTATTCTGCTGCTATTTAGTGGGGTGTTTTGTTTATGTCTGTTAGGTTCAGTTAGTGTATAGTGTTAATTCAAGTCCTCTGT